ACATTTTTTCTTCATGACGATACATTTCAAATTTCAATTCACATCTAAAATTACACTTCAAAACACACTTTCAAAAAACCAACTCAAAATAAGATTTTTGCATGCTAGTTGAACTTAAATATAAATATAGACTTGATTTACTAATTAAACAGCCTCCTTACACATTTAGTTGTTACTATGACGACAAAATTATTTACTTCATAAATTGTTGAAGCATAAGCTTCTAAAGAATTCGTTAGCGGGAATTTGCGTGGTTTTTTCGCATTTCAAGTTGTCTTTTAATAGTTTTGTGTGTCTATCGACATGGAAGGTATGAATTCAGGATTTATTTATGATTTGCGCTGGGAGGAAAGTTTGAATGCTATCCAGAGCTGTCAGAAAGTTGGTTTGCTTGTGTCTCGACGTGTATATAATGTATGCAAGAATGATATGAAATTTACTGAGAAAAAGGATAGAAGAGATGGGAACGAGTGGATTTGTAGAGTCAGAGGCGAGAATGGTCACAGCGTGAAAATGTCTGTGTGAAAGGTTCTTTGTTTGAGAGGAGTCTTATTAATTTACTAAACTTCAGTTCATAAAAAATAAAGAGAGTATTTTTCAGATATAAGCAGATTTGGTGATACGTTGATGAATCATTGAAGTTTTTCGAGTTACAAAGATAACGTAATCAGGGCAGAGACTTTGCACTAATTGTATTACCATAGTATTTCTAATACTATTAAATTGTATAATTTCAGCGATTATGTGAGTTCATTTTTTTCTTTTTTCTAACAAAATACTGCTATCTTTAACATCTAGTATTTTTTAAAAAAATAGACAGGTTGATTTTATATTATTAAAATGGGGGTTTTGGGGAGCGTAGCCTCCAATAATAAAAGTTCAAGTAGAAAGTGTTAGTGAAATATACTGCAGTTTCTAGAACGTATAAAAATATATTAAGTTGATACGTTGCTTTTTTTAGTAATAAAATATTGCTTTGAATAGTAAGGAAACTTTAAGTAGCATGTGAGTGTAAAATAGAAATTATATTTACTGCGATAACATAATGAAACACGCGAATAGTAAACAAGGATCCAGTTCAGTGAGTCGATTCTCTTCTAGTGAACTGAATCAATGAACTGAAGGAACTGTGCCACCCTACACCAGAGATTTACCTTAATACATTGTATTTAAGATCATTTATTCAATATTTAAGAAAAGAACATCACCATGGCTATGCCTCTATTGGAACCACTCCGTACGGGCATTTGGAAGGGTGTCAGTATTTATCGGAGTTAAAAATTCTGTATCCAACACGTGGCGAATGTAAGTGATCCTAATCTATTGCAAATGTATGTCAATGAAAAAGTATACGAATATTATATTAAAATATTGTTAATGTAATAAAACAATGTTTAATTATAATATTCGTATACTTTAACACGTTTTATATTTTATACTTTTTTACTTTATTCTTGTACACTTATTTTTTAAATATTTAAAAATAATTATTTAAATGCTCCATTCAGGTTAACAAGTTCACTGTTGTAAATTTAAAAAGATAATAAAGAGTTGGGTATTTCACTAGCGACTGGCCGAGAATGGGACCAAATGCTCAAATTAAATAACCGAGCAATGTCGAAAAATAAGCTACTAATTGCATAAAATAGAGAAATAATGTTCATATTACTTAACAGCCAGTCTTTCTAGGAAATGTTCAATTCGTTACATCCCTGACATTTAATTTTCATTTTCCGTATGCACCACTTTATATTTTATTGAAAAAGAACACTAAATATATTAATCATTTTAAGGAAGATTGTTGCAGTCGCTGATAAAGGAGACAAGCCAATGAAAAAAATGAGTCAATTACACTCGAACGTAAAAACGTTCAATTACAGCCTTTTCGCAATGGCTATTCGCAATTCCTTATCTGCTATCATAATTTTCGTATTAGCCCGCACGTTCCATCTCGCATGACCGCCACCCGTAAGATCTGGCGTCGCCTCCGCGCACGTTTAAATCCGCGTTGGGTGTGGCCCAACGTCATGAATTTTGGGCCTGAGCTCGGTTCAATATAAATATATATATATATATATATATAATATATATATATAATATTATATATATATATATATTCTTCTTCAATGTTTCAAATTACATTTCCGTCCATTCGATGGAGGTGCAATCTTCAGTCTGTTGGGGCCCCACAGCCACTACTGATTATTCTTATTGTTTCATTAGCACCTGAACTGGGCCGGGTTCTGTGGATTCTGTAAGAATAATCTACTTTGCCTTTGTCCCACATGAGCTAAGAATATCCAATCCGGTTGTCACAAGATAAACTATGAGTTATTGTTATCAGCACACAGTAAAACACTTGAATGTGCAGATGTGCGGATGGTGAAATTCCCTCACTGGTGCTAGACCATTTCTCGAGCATCATCGAGACGATTGAGGTGTCATTGGACGCGTCTCGTTCACCTGATAATGAACTCTAATTTGTTTCGGATCCGCCAAACGATTCAAAAAAATTCAAAACGTGTTTTTTCATGTTTTGGCGCTGCGATCATATGATTAATGCCAGAATTACACACAACTTCTCCTAATTGATCTATGTAATTGGCATGGATTAAAACCCGTACCCAAATAATGTTTAGCAAAATACGCCATAATTTTCTTTCAAGCTTTAGCAATGCTATTGTTGACATCTTTAAGTGAACAATTGAATTACGAAGTAAATCGCGCTGCAGATTGATTTTAATTAAATTCGAATTAACGTGTTTTTTAGAAATACATTTGCAAAAACCTACTAATAGTATTGCCTCGAGACTTATTAAACGTAAAGAATTTCAAAGAATACGAGAAAATAAAACTGTGAGTAGTGAAAGAGAATGAATGAATGTTATGTTCGACTTCACACGTTTACTTTCTTACATAGTGCGCAAATACGGATTTTCAAATGAATGTGACAACATGTACAACTTACGTTTATTGAACTTACCCCTTATTCACATAAAAGATACAAAACAGTCGCCTTTTGAAGTTAATTTGCATGCAACGCTCGATTTGCATACAAAACAA